CAGTTTGTTATGATCCACACAGTCAAACGCCTTTGCATAATCAGTGAAACACAGATAGACATTCTTCTGGTATTCTCTGCTTTCAGCTAAGATCCATCTGACATCAGCTACAATATCCCTAGTACCACAACCCCTTCTAAACCCAGCCTGGACTTCTGGCAGTTCTCTGCTGCTGACCTTTTAGCTAGCCAAATTCTGTAACCACTGTCCTTAGAATTTGAGGCTCTTTCCCTGATACATAAACAAATAATCTCACTGCTGTTGAGTTGACCCTGACTCATGGTGACCCTCAATCGAGTTTATGAGACTATGAATCTTACAGGAGGAGCCTCCACGTCTTTCTTCCAAGACGGGCCTGGTCGATCTGAACTGCTAACCTTTTGGTTAGTAACCAGCACGTAAAGCATTATACAACCAGAGTAACTTCCTTAACACAAAGGACTCAGATACTTATTTAGATAAAAGAATGACTGTGTTGTTAAAGCTTATTAAATATCTTGACATTCAAAAGATAGATTTTTTTTTAATTGGGCTGTGAACTAAAATAAAACATTCAGGAACTATTTGGTATGGTCACCTTGGAAAATAATTAGTTGTCTGACATTATTACCTTGAAATCATCTCTAAAATGTAAACTGAAAATATCCCTGACATCTTTCTTAAGACCATCTCTTAGTTTGGCTTAACGAGTAGAAAATCCTCACCTTGACGTGTATGCTATTTTAAAAATTGCCTATGGACTCAAAGTGACACCAGTGACTCAGAAAAGTCGTTAGAGGCCTTTAGGGACAGTGGCTTAGGTCATAGGGGTGATTACACAACTCGGAAAATGTTAATTGGTGTCACTGAATTGTAGGTGTTAAAATAGTTGGATCTGTGCTTATTTTGCTGTGTGTATTCTCAACAAAAGGAAAATACCTTTTTAAAAAAAACACAATTTTTTTTCTCTCATTGCTGTGGAATAGGTGAAATTAGACATTAGATTTGAGAGTGCACAGAATAAAAACGTGGTCGCTGTCCTCTCAGAGTTCTGCCTTCAGTGGGGTAAGTGAGAAGAGTGCAGAGGGAGCACTGGGCAGCTGACTCGTAGATGACACTCCATTGTGTTTCCGCGGCTGGAAATCACACAGGAATTTGTCCGTCTTTCTTCTATGAAGCCACTGGTAGATTCGAACTGCCTACCCAAAAGGTGCAGCCTTCAAGTTAGCAACATAGCTTTTTATGGACTCCATAGAAAAACTCCCTAAAAAATAACTGAATGTGTGTGAATTAATACGTTGCCAGGAAAGTATACTACTATCCAAAGGTTCTGACACAAAGGTTCTGCTTTCAACACTCGTGTGTACTCACGGGTGGTCTTGTGTGTAACGTGGGTGTTCCGTGTCTTCCCGGTCTTTGTGCCCACAGTCCCCCGGCTGCTCACCATGAAGGACATGGTGCGGCGTCTGCAGGAGCTGCGGCACACAGAGCAGGTGCAGAGGGCCTACGCGCTCAACTGCGGGGAAGGCGCCACCGTCAGCTACGAGATCCAGATCCGCGTCCTCAGGGAGTTTGGCCTCGCCGATGCCGCCGCCGAGCTCTTGCAGGTCGGAAGCAGCCCCCAGCTGTGCTCACGGCAGGGGGGCCTTGGTGGTTATCAGGGAGCATTCTGTCATCCGAAGGAGCCCACTTGGGTTTATAGCCTCGTTCTGCCATTTAGAATTATTTAACTTGGCAAGTTATTTAAATGCTCTGAGAAGCAGTCGCCTTACTTGTAAAATGGATTGTTGGGAGTTAAGAGGTGCTTTATGCATAGTTGCTTTATGCGCCTGGCAGTGGAAGTAGACATTCTAACCCTCCACTGTTCCCTGACCCTGGTTGAGTCACTAGGGGTTTTTTCTTAATATAGAAAAGGTTTATCCCTTAAATAATTAATACAGTGTTTATCAGAGCATTAATCATAATGTATGAGAAATACTGCCTTAGAGTGTTCATTTCAAACTGGCAGTGTACAGATTTTTGTCAATATTTTAGGAGGACCCTTACTTAGCACCTAGTCTTCTTTTGATGTTTAATATTATTTCCTGAGGAAAGACCTATTTGAATTGCATTTAGTGTCTGTTTTTACATTATGACATAATCTTGCTGGAGATTACTGACCTGCTTGCTGATTATTAAAGGAATTTTTTTTTCTTGGCCTTTGGCCTAGCAAAAGGTTGTGTCCTTTCTTCTAGCTGGATGGGGTTTTCCTAGAGAGTTTATGTATTTGACTCTTTCAGCCTAAATAATAAATTTCCATCTAAGAAAACTGTTAATAAATGTTCTAACTTTTCTTCCCCCCTCTCGATTCTTTCTTAGAATCCTCACAAGTTCTTTCCTGATGAACGTTTTGGGGATGAAAGTCCGCTCTTAACACTGAAACCATCTGGGCGATGTCGGGTGAACAGTACCCCTACTGCAGAAACCATGTTTACAGATCTGGACTCTTTTGTGGCCTTCCATCCACCCTTGCCCCCTCCTCCACCTCCTTACCAGCCCCCAGCTACCCCAATCCATAACCAGCTCAAAGTGGGTTGGAGACAACGACCTCCCAGTCAGCCTCCGCCACGGTCCTTTTCTTACCCCTGCAATCATTCTCTGTTTCACTCCAGAACACCTCCTAAAGCCGTCCCTCCTCCGGTCTATTTGCCAAGTGTTAAGGCAGCACCTCCCGACTGTACAAACACTGCAGGACTGGGGAGGCAGACGGTCGCAGCAGCCACCGCCGCTGCTGCATCAGCAGCAATAACATCTGAGAAGCAAGTGGTAAGTCAGCACTTGAGTTGTTCTTGGTCGCTGTTGAGCCAGATCTGATTCTTGGCACCCTTGTGTATAACAACGAAACAGGCAGATATTTTTTCAGTAGGTAAACTGAACTGTTAATCAGTGGTAAGGAGACTTCAGAAGGTCTGTCTTGCCTAGCTTTGCACCATCTTTCTGATTGTTGCTCTGGTTGCGTCTCTTGTTTCAGCTGTTGTATTGGTCCATGTCATTAAGAGTTTCGCTCATTTTCACTGAAACCATTTCTTCCAGTGGCACATCTGAATTGAGTAAGTTGTCTCACCACTGTCAATGCTCAGGAGCATTCTGGCATATTTTCTCTTAAGATTGCCATCTCCATTCTTCTGGCAGCCCACAGTAGATTTAGTATTGTTCATCAACACTACAGATAGAATGCGTCATTTCTTCTGTCTTCTTCGTTGTCCGGATTCTCAAATGATGCAACTGGAACAACCAATTTATGTAATACTGGAAATTACTCCTTTAGACCCAAGAGTCCCACCGAGATTCAGCAGTCTCCAGAAATGTTACTGACCGTCTAAAAATGTAGACTCGGGTGGACGAGAGAAAAGGTGTCCAGTGAATTAGAAGAACAAAAGGTAGACTTAAGGTGTGTGTATTCAGAGTAGTGGGATTGGCTTCCCCATCCTTACTTTACTTTGCAAATGTTAGAAAGGGTTTCATGGACAGTATACCCCTGGTAGCATAGTTAGTGGTGAAATGTTTCCTATTCAGAAGTTGGCGTTTTGAAACCACTAGTACAGAGGTTGAATAGTTGAAGAGTCTTGATGATCTGCTCCTGTGAAGAGAAACCACAGCCTTTGAGTTCACTCGGACACTGTTCCATCAGGTTTCTTGGAGTAGATTACCATGTTTCTGCCCTGGAACTGCAGGCTAAGAAGGCCTCTCGGGCCCTGGGGAGCAGGCCTCTGTCCCAGAGGGTCTCTGTGAGTTCTTACTGACTAATGGCACACAGCAACAGTGGGGATTAAAGTGGATGTACCAGTGTCAGTGGTCTGTTCAGTCTGTGCCTGGAGTTTGTACTAAATTCTCTTCTCTTTCCAAACCCCCTTACCGTGGAGTCAGAACCAGCTCACAGCTGAACCCTGCACTGGATTGCCAGGGCTGTAAAGGGAATGAGAGGAGATTGCCCCTTTTGTCCCTTGGAGCTGCTAATAGATTTGAACCACTAGAGAGATGTGGCCTTGAATGTCAGAGAAGTCACCAGAGCATCCTTTGAGTCAGATTGTTGGTACGGACAGATACTAGTTCCAAAGAGAATTTCATTCCCAATTTTCCATCGCATCAGAGGTGGGATTTCTGTTTTATGTAGTAAGTTTTACTATGTGGTCACAGGTTTCATTAAAATATAACATCCTGGAAGATCTGGACTAGAGGTCACGCCTCTGGTCGGATGAATTCCCCCTCACCGTCCTCATCCTCCCTGCCTCCTCTTCCTGCTGCAGCCAAACCACCTCTCCCAAATTGAAATAGCAGGTAAAGGGCGTGGATACACTCAATTCCTGCTCCACTGGATGGACTCAGAGTCTATAACTGTAAAAAGTTCTATGGATCTTAAAGAAAGCTCATTTAGAGTTAAATTATTTATATGTCCATTATAGTCTTGATTATAATAATGAAAACTGGAAACACCGAAATGTTCAACGGTAGATGGTTAAATCACAGTCATCAGTGCAATGGATATTACACAGTATTTTTAAATAATGAGTTCAGAAAACATTTAGTGCTAGAATTTCACAGGCACTAGATTTTGTAAAAACTAATATGTAAGCAAAGGAAAAATTGTTTACCTGGTATAAAAGATCTGCCTTGATCATTAGGCTATTTTTTTTTTCATTTTTATTTGAGTGAACACTTAAAAAGCAAACTGGTTTTCTATTCATACATGTTTTGTTGTAGAACATGAATTAATGTTGTTACATGCCGTCTAGTTGCCTGCAACTCACAGTGACCCTGTGCATAATAGCTCTGAGCCCTGTCCTAACCTGAGCCAGTTCTCACTGTCTCCAACACACATATCCCCATGACCCTCGTCACTGTAAGTCCATTGCGGGTTCTTCCTCTCCTGCGCTGTCCCTCCACCCTCCCCAACATGACTACAGTACCTTTAATGTACTAAAATTCCCCTCAGCGCCTCCCTGTGATTCTTCTTCCCGGTAATCCTTCCAGCTTTGCCTGTGTTTAGAGGCTTTCCCGCTGGGCAAGTGCAGCTGCCTTGACTATGTGGCTGTAAGTGAAAGGAGCCTGTGGCTGTCTGGTGACATTGATTGTTGCCTTAGAGACCTACCTGTTCAGCTCCGAGTTGAACCACAGAATAAAACAACAAGTGAACATTATTTTTACAAAGCGAGATTCAAGGGCCCTTTAACGACCCCCTTTTTTCTGCTGTTTGCAGTGTGCACAGCCTGTGCTGAATGACCTGATGCCAGATATCGCCATGGGAGTGTCCACACTGTCACTCAAGGACAGAAGGCTTCCAGAACTTGCAGTCGATACAGAATTAAGCCAGTCAGTGTCCGAAGCAGGAACAGGACCTCCCCAGCATCTGTCCTGTGTCTCCCAAAGGCATACACACACTTCTCAAAAAAAACACACACTAGAGCGAAAAACAGATCCTAGAGAAAAACATCCAGAGTATCCCGATTTCTACGACTTGTCGAATGCGGCCTGCAGACCGTCCACTCCTGCTCCCGGCAGGCCTAGCCCTCCCCCTTCGCAGGGTGGACATTTGGGTCCCGATTTGTACAGCCACAGTAAGGCATCACCAAGTGGCTTAAAGTCTGCCTACCTTCCTAGCCAGACCTCTCCTAAAAAGCAAGAAGAAGTGAGGAGAGAATATCCACTTTCCCCTGACGGGCAACTACACAGACAAAAGAATGAGCCAATCCACCTCGATGTTGTCGAACAGCCTCCCCAGCGGTCAGACTTCCCTTCAGTGGCCCCCGAAAATGCCGGCAGCGGGCCCACCCATGTTAGGGGACGAACTGCCGTAGAAACTGACTTGACTTTTGGGCTGACTTCTAACAGACCTTCCCATTCTTCTGCGTGTAGTTCTGAAGCTCCAGAAGACAGATCCAGTAGGAGACTGGTCGACAGTGAGCCCCTGGGCCATGGAGCCCAGAGAAACTCAGACTTAGAAAGAGAGGATTCCATCAGCAGAGGGAGACGGTCACCAAACAAGCCCGACTTCCTCTACAAAAAGTCTGCCCTCTGAGAGCATCCTCCGTGTCGTCTGTGCCTGAGATGTGAGACATCCCATCGACAATGCAACCCAGCAACTTACCAGTTTTATCGATGCCAGCTGACAGCTCGGGTTCACATGATCTTCTCATTTTTGTACATATGTGTTTATTAGGCATAGCATGCTAAGAGGGTTATTTTGAATGCTGCATCTGTCTATTTTGTGTTTGAACAATTGTGTGGGAAGCATTTTTAAGAGCGAGCAAGCTGGCACTTTTTTTTCTCTTTACAAATGATGGAAGTTTTTTTTGCACTTGTACATTTATTTTATCCATATTGGTTTTATATCACTATGCTAAACTTTATTGCCACATTTAAAGGACTGTATTTTCATACTCTTTTGCATTTTACCTTTCATCTACCGATTCCCACGTGCATTGAATTGCACACTAAGATGTATTTTCTTACGAGATAGTTCTGTGTTTATTTTTTAATTATAGAAATTCCAAAGAACAGCACATCAAAATCTTCCTCTCTTTTTAGTAATGGTTTTAGTTGCAGAAATCGTCCTGCTCAGTCTCCATCGAACTAATGTCTGTCTGTGTATCTTAACGTGTGCAGGGAGCTAGTCTCCATTCCTCCAGTGGGAGTCCCCTCGGCATCCTGAGCTTGTCCGGCTCTGGAAGGAGAGTGGAAAATGAAGAGCCTCCTGTCTCCAGACTACAGCTGTGGTTTCATCGACAGCAGGGACCCCATCCTAGAACCCTTGGGGGTCCGGCAGTGTGTACTAGAGTGGCTCTCAGTGAGGCTCCAGAAAGATGAGATTCCCTGCGGTGAAGAAGCTGTTGACATGCACAGCCGAGGGCTCACAAACGAGATTGCTCATTTCCAGAGTCAGCTCTCCAGCTGAGAGGACTGGAATGGCTGCTTGCTGCCTTCTCTTGTCTTGCTGTCTGTGGGGAAAAAACCAAAAGGGCTTCAATCTTACAGATGTCATGTGGTGTTTGTAAGCATACATTTTCTCTCCTGTGTCTTTTAAAGTATGTCTGAATTTTAGTGTCCTATAAAAAGTTGTTGTATAAGGCATAGTACTTTGTCGCACACACAAAAAAAAGTATGTTCCCCCTCTCGAGTTCACCACTACACGTCCTACTTGAACTCCACTGGGATGCTGGTGTGGACCTTTTTCTGAACCGCCACAGCACCGGGGAGATTGCCAGCTCCTCTCCCTTGGAAGGGCAGTGTGGGAGCTAAGGACTGTTCTTTCTTACCAGTGTAAATATAACTAGTATTTGGGTTTTTAAGTCACTTGAACATTATTTGAACATTCACTTTGTATTTTTACACACACATCCACACACCCAGCCGTAGTACTTGGAGAGAGGCTTTCCCAGGATTCCCTCATGGGGAGAAGTCCGGAAACCTCTTTTCTATGTATGTGTATATGTAAATGTAATTCTGAGTCACTCACACTCACTCACTCTGAACTATGCAGGGCTCGGGAGCCTTTACAAGCTACCATATAGACGAATTACATGCACTTTTAAGGAAATAAGTTTCTATTTGGTGTCAACAACTCTGATTTCTCTCCCAAAACTGTAGTTTCTCTTAACAGTCTTTTCCTACTTGACCCTGTGGATATACACTCAGGAATAATCTGACATTTTAAGAAATCCTAGTCTCAAAGATGGGGAACACATAAGTGTATCTGCATCCACCAGCCAGCTGCTCTGTGCGTGAGGGGTTGAATGCTGCTGGGACATCCGCGGACGCTGCGGGTGCTGGGGCCTTCTGAGCTCTGGTCGGCCCGAGGAAGCACGAGTCCACTGCAAGGTTGCCTGAGCATTGCCTTCATGGCTCCTTTACTTAAAGATAGAAAAGCATAGGGCTCTGTTTTTGGTTTCAGGAGATTTGACTCTTAAAATAGATTGGTGATGTCTTTTTGAAGTCCAATCTATGTCTGCTAAAACAAAAATTATTACCCCATCATATCCCTTAATGTGTATTGATACATGTATGTTGACATGAATTCTTTTGATAGAGTTTTAAATTTCTATTCTGAATCAGACTGCACTGTGCTGGTACTGCAAATAAGGATGCATAATTTTGGGGAAGAACTTATTTATCACTGAACTGGTTCATTCACATGTTAGGCCAGACCTGTTGATCGCACATAACCTTGGCCTAAAAATTCATTGAATATTCTTTCATTTTCCCAATGCAGACTTATAAAAATATGGGGTCACTGTTGATAAAGTTATTTAACTTACGAAGTTTGCTTTTAATAATTTAGTGGCTCATGTAGCTACACTCGGTGTATAGACGGAAAGCTGGATTCAGTCCTTGGGACCGTGGACTGGTGGGGTTTGCGTCAGGTAGACTGTGTGGTTTCTGTGGGTGGTGGGGTAGGTGCTAGTGGACTTCCACGTATCTTGTGGCATGTGGTTCATAGGGTAATAATGTGCCTCTGGCTTTTGAACTCATCTAGTACATCTTTTTTTTTTAGGCTATACTAAGATTAATGTGAAGTCTGAGTAAGATTGCTCTCAGAAAAAGAAAATGTGTATGTATGATAAAACACTTTGGCCACAGGAACTGGTATTTTTACTTGACAGCAATGTAATGAGAACCAAATCACATAAAATGCCAGATTTCCTTTTGAGGCCGTCGACAATCAGGCCGCTCTGACTGTCACCACTTCAGGCCCCACTGTGTGTGGAGGTTAGACAACTTCCTGTAGCTCCTAGAAGGAAAGAGATTCAAGTTTCTTAAAGATGTTGTTGATCCTTTTCCCTTCGTTTTTATGTCTTAATGATTTGAGTGACATTGTTCAACATCAACCTATGACTCCTATGGAAACTAGTAGCTTGGGAGGTTAAAGTTCCTAACGTGTAATTATTTAAACCTTTCATATAACCTGCACCTTCCTCACGTGCCACCAGTAGCTGCTGCTAGACACATGTTCCTAGACTTCCTCTAGCCTGATGTTTCAATAACCAGACAGATTCTAAGATTCATGAGAGTTCTAGATCTTTTCTTTGCATAGAACTCTCGTGAAACTTTACCTAGTCCTTGTTTGAGCTTCCACAAAAAACTCTGATTACAGTTGCCACCCTTTTGACTTGTTCAAGTTCTAGTAATAGGCACAGTTCTTGCTATAGTTGTAGTTGGCGATGCCAAATGCAGAGGGAGGACAGCAGGTGCGGCAGGCAAGGGGACCCCAAAGTGACATCATGTGTCATTGTCTGGAGGTGAAAGGTTAGCACTTCTCAGTAATTACACTGGGCAAAACGTGTGTGTGCACAGCATATTTCATTTGCTTTTTAGGGGGAAAATGTGCTTCATGAAACACAAGACAACTTTTTTTGGTAATTTTGCAGTATTTGTGGTTTTGCCATAGACTAAGTTCAAAGCCTAATGCTTAGTTGACTTTTTTCTTTTTCATGAGTTGATTAACTTTGAGCTTTTTGTAATTATTAAAACAGCAATGACGGGGGTTGTTCCCAAATCTGCAGTGGTTTACTCGGTCGGCAAGTCATTTGCTCTACACCTCACTACAGACAATCTACACAAGTACCGTGCACACTGCTAAAAGATGTTCTTCTCCATTAATGTTGGAGGAACAGTGTCTTAGGAAATGTTGTCTTTTTGTCCTATGGATTACAATGGCTGTTTTGTAGTTATCATATTGGCAAGTCTTTTGCTTTTCTTTTCTCACCTCTCTAGTCTTTTGCTTTTCTTTTCTCACCTCTCTAGAAGGCCCTACGATTGTGTCAACCTCCCATATTCTGGATATTATAACGGTGTGGCCATTTGTATAGGAAGAATATGTGCAGCTGTGTGTCTTGAAAATACCCTCTTGTGCTTGTATGTACCTGTGGGTGCTGTTGGAAAGATCCAGTAGCTCTGGACTGTAGCTGGGCACCCACCTGTGGCTGCGTCCGGGGCTGAGTGGGCAGGTGGTACAGAATCCTGCTGGGGGGGCTGGAAGGGCAGGCTTCCTGAGCTCCACCTGCTCTGGTTGTACCACGTCCACCCTGCAAACCTGCTGGTATCTCCCACAACACTGCATTTCTTGTGGTTGTGCTGTTACTGGTATAAAGTCAAGTGCCTTCAATGCTAAAGGCTCAGAAATTTTTCTTAAACTGATTTCATGTCCTATGCAAGTGTTTTCTACAACCTGCATAACCAGTACTTTGTAAAACTTGTTTACGCTTCAATTGTACATAGTGTTTTTTAAAGAAATATATAGTATTTTTATTTAGGTACCTCTAAACTTGAATTCGTCTGTGTGAAGCATTGTGAAACGATCCGTTTCTCTTTTGAGTACCATCACAGTTGTACAAAGGTTTTCACTGGTTCTATTTTTCTACTGTTACTGATAAGCATGTCACACTGACTTGATCCGACATCTAGTTGGCATTTCCAATAAACGGCTTGTATAGAACCTGCTGAGTCCGTCAGTCTGTCTTCAGTTCTGTAGTGGTCGAAACGGCTGTTCCCACTAACGGAATTGGGAGATTTCCCACATTTCTCCTGTTGCTAAGATTTCAGTTTTCTGGGGGATGGAGGGAGAGGGTTTGGATTTTTTTTTCCTTTTTGTATGATTTTCTTGAAAATCGGGCCCATTGATACACTTCTGAGAAATGTATTTTACAGATCTGAGAATTGCCTGTCCAGGTGTTTAAAGAGGCAGTAAAAAGAGGAAATAGAGTCATGACGAGGGGAGAAGACACACTGAAAAGGCAGTATTTCCTGCCTTCCATTTATTCCTGTAAAATCGTTAATAACACTTTGTTTTGATCACCGCACTGATAAGCTCTGCCCTAGCAGTCCACTCTTCCTGCTGGGCGAGGAAGTGTCTCTATTTTATAACTACCGCATTCAGCTAGACAGTGTCAAGGACAAATACAGTCTAAGGTTTTTGTAGGTAAGCTACTTAAAAATACAGGGGAGGAAAAAAGCAAAAGAGCCCCCTTTCTTCCCCGTCCTTTGGATTAGCCCTGGAAAAACTAAATCAGACGCCGTTCCCTAGCCTCTAAGTGCATTAGGAATGTTTCTCGAGTCCCTCACTGTCCCCAAGGCCTGTTGATAGGAAGCCACAGGCAAGATCTTTATACTCGACCTGGAAAAGACTGTTGTCTGAAGATCAATCAGGATTCTTCAGGGCAGTAGGGGATTTGCATGGCTGAAGGAAGACTGAGTTGGAATGGCCCAGGAGTTAATGGAGTTTGCTCAAAGACCCACAAGGTCCTCTTGGTTACGGAACTGGATCATCGGGCCTTTCACCAGGCAACCAGGTGGCTTTGAACATCTAAACTTTAGGTCTGAAGCCCAGTGCCTTTTGCTTCGTAAGAGGCCATTTATACTAGCACTTGGTACATTTCTTCCCTTTAGTCTTTCACTGGGTTAGGTGCTTTAATTCGTGTCAGTCTACAGATGAGGAAACCAGCTCAGCAGGAATAACTTGTCCAGCATCACCTGCTGGAGGGTTGGCAGAACTCGGGCCTCAGCGGCTCCCACCCAGACGGTCTGACTGCAGGATCCAGACAGAGATGCAGACGTGCACACTGTGGCCCGTGGCCTGGGTGGGAAACATGGCTTCATCCGGAAGTATTTGCTGAGCAGCTTCCATCTGGCAGGCACCGTTCAGAACTGAGGCAATAGCTTCGCCCTCAGTGATTTTGGGGGGGGGGGCTGGAGGGAGGGAAAGGCGGAGGGGAGTTACTA